CATTACTGAAAACACCATTGCAACAGGATATAAAATCATAGTTGAAAAGAGCATTTTGCCAAGTGCAGTCCTTCTTGTAATCTAGGTCACACACTTAAATTAAGGCATTTCTTTATGGGTAGAAAGACAGGATGCAAATAAAGATGAAGATAATAATAATAATAAATAATAATACATCACACACACGCAAAGAAATTGAAAACAAATACTTGGAATTAGCCAATTTGGTGGATTTCTAGTTATGTAGCATGCATAAAAATCTATTTCAGAACCAAGTGCAGAATTCATGAGAAGGGAGGGTGGGCTTTTGCAACCCACCTTCCCTTTCATTCCCTTTCCTCTCATCTGGTGGAGTGCATTCTCAGTTATGTTAGCCAAACTAACCAGAAACAAACCAGTGTCAGCTTATTCTCACACTTTTAATAGCATCTTGATGCACAAACATGTGAAGGTGAAGCTTTTCACAAGTCCAAACTGTCCATTTCTTTTTCCCTAGAGAAAAGATCAGCATTTTTTTTCATGTACACCATGGGAATAGAGATATTTTGAAGTGTTGCCCCTTTTAATCTTCCTTTACTATTAGGAGTGCTAGAAAATGTGCCTCCACCCTTCCCCCTGCTGTTGTCCTTATCTCCTTTGAACAGCTTGTTCTGGTTTATAAGTACTTATTTTACATAGCAGCATTTTTAATTATTGCTTAACCACGGTTCCAGTCAGTATGTTGTTGTGGTTAGAAATTCTGAACTGAAGAGTGGATGGAGATTCAAATTCCCTCTTAAACAGGGAGCTCACTGGGTCTCACTTCAGGTCAGTGATTCTCTCTGAGCCTTTCCTATATCTCAGGGGCAGGAAGAGTGAGCCTGTATGCATGGAAAACTTTGTAAGACATCCCAGAGTCCTTAAACATTGTAACTAAGCAGGGTCAGCACTTTTTAGTACTTGGATGGGAGACTGCCAAAGAATACCAGGTGCTGCAGGATATGTTTTAGAGGAAAGAACTGGCAAAACCACCTCTGAGTACTCCTTGCCTAAGAAAACCTTATAGCAGTGGTTCTTAATCTGTGGGTCTCCAGGTGTTTTGGCCTACAATTCCCAGAAAGCTCAGCCAGTTTACCAACTGTTAGGATTTCTGGGATTTCTGGATGGCCATCTGTCGTGAGTGCTTTGAATGCGATTTCCTTGCATTGGACTGGATGGCCCATCAGGTCTCTTCCAACTCTATGATTCTGAGTTGAAGGCCAAAACATCTGGGGACCCACAGGCTGAGAACCACTGCCCTATGAGGTCACCATAAGTCAACAGGTGAGTTGAAGGCACTCAAACACGCACACACACACACTGCAAACCCAGGGATTCCACAGGATGTTTCCATGACAGTTAAAATTGAATCATAGTGCTATAATAGTATTGTGTGTAGGGGGGCTGGTGAATGTTCCTCTGTTCTTTAAAGCAAAATTAAGAAACTGTTAACTCTCCTGATGTTTCCAAAATCCCTTATGGCGGTTCGTGACCCAAAGATCTTCCAGATGTTTTGGACTTTAGTTCCCACAATTCCTAACAGGTGGTAAAATGACTGGGAGGTCTGGGAGTTGAAGTCCAAAACATCTGAAGGACCAAAGGTTGGGAATCACTCCCCTTGCAACTGGCTAGTGCTTATATGGTGGATTACTTCTGAGTAAACCTTGCCTAAAATATTTCTTGCATATACAATTCATGGGGTTTATATAAGTAGACAGATAACTTTAAAGGCACACACACAAACCCATGTATACAATTAGCCTTCTGTATCCAGGGGTTTATTTATTTATTTATTTATTTGGGGTTCTTTTACCCCACCCTTCTCACCCCGAAGGTAACTCAGGGTGGCTTACAGAACTCAGGGCGGCTTACAGTACTGCCTTGATATTCTGGGATATAGGACTATGTGGAAGAGCCCTCAGAGAATTCAGTTGAAGCAAATGTTGTGAGATTTTCTGCCTTGATATTCTGGAATATTAGGGCTGCGTGGAAGGGCTCTGAGTCCCCACTCAGATAATGTGGGAATTCCTGCCTTGATATTGTGGGATATAGGGCTGTGTGGAAGGGCCCAAGTCGATTTCTTCCTCTGAGGGCCCTTCCACACAGCTCTATATCCCAGGGCCCTTCTCCCCAGAAGATCTTCTGCATTCACAGATTCCATGATCCACAGCTTGCAAATATTCCTCCCCAGAAAATTCCCAAAAACAAATCTTGATTTTGCCATGCTATATCTGGGGCTTCATGTTACTATGCAAGTGTATATGATGGGACTTGAGTATCCATGGGTTTTAGTATCCATGGGGATGCTGGAATCAAAACTCTGTGGATACCAAGGATCACTGTAATGGGGAGTTGTTTTGGGAGCCCTTGTGATGAGATGAAGGGGGCATCAACACTGTAGCATGACTGCAGTTTGACACTGCTTTAAATTGATATGGCTCAGTGCCATGGAATCCTGGGAGTTGTAGTTCTACAAGGTCTTGAGTCTTCTCTGCAAAAGACTGCTGGTGCTTTACCAAACTACAGCTCCCACAATTCCATACCATTAAGGCCCCCTTCATAGTGCCATGTGCAGCGTCTGTAGCATTAGAAGGAATGCAGTTTGGCCCCACTTTAAAGTGTCATGATTTAGGGCCCCTCCACACAACCATATAACGCAGATTATCAAAGCAGATCATCCACATTACCTACTTTGAACTGGATTATATGAGTCTACACTGCCATATATTCGAGTTCAAAGCAGATAATCTGGATTTTACATGGCAGTGTAGAAGGGGTCTAAGGATCCTTCCACACAGCTGTATAAAATCACCATTGAACTGGATTATGTGGCAGTGTTGACTCTGATAATCCAGTTCAAAGCAGATATTGTGGATGATCTCTCTTGATATTCAGGGTTATATGGCTGTGTGGAAGGGCCCTATGCCATGACACTTAGAAGTAGGGCCAAACTGTATTCCTTCTAATGCTACAGATGTGTCCTAAAGGGGATACAAAAACAAAATAACAATTTTCTTCAATAACAGTTGGAAGAAAATACAGATACTTTTCCCATAGCCACTCAGATGCCCTTCCAAATGGGAACAAGAGTGATGTGTGGGGATATCTCCCCAGAAGATCTTCATCACACTAGATCAGGCATGGGCAAACTTGGGCCTTCCAGGTGTTTTGGACTTCAACTTCCACCTGAGTCCCCACTAAGATAATGTGGGATTTCCTGCCTTGCCATTATGGTATATAGGGCTGTGTGGAAGGGCCCTAAGTCACTGTCTTCCTCTGAGGGCCCTTCCACACAGCCCCATATCCCAGAATATCAAGGCATGAAATCCTACATTATCTGAGTGTGGACTCAGGAAACCCAGTTCAAAGCAGATATTGAGGGATTTTATGCCTTAATATTATGGGATATAGGGCTATGTGGAAGGGCTCTGAGTCCACTCTCTGATAATGTGGGATTTGCTGCCTTGATATTCTGGGATATAGGACTATGTGGAAGAGCCCTCAGAGAATCCAGTTGAAGCAAATGTTGTGAGATTTTCTGCCTTGATATTCTGGAATATAGGGCTGCGTGGAAGGGCTCTGAGTCCCCACTCAGATAATGTGGGAATTCCTGCCTTGATATTGTGGGATATAGGGCTGTGTGGGAGGGCCCTAGGTCGATTTCTTCCTCTGAGGGCCCTTCCACACAGCTCTATATCCCGGGGCCCTTCTACTCAGCCCTATATTCCAGAATATCGAGGAAGGAAATCCCACATTCCTTCCTCAGATAACCCAGTTCAAAGCAGATATTGTGGGATTTCCTGCCTTGATATTCTGAGATATAGGGCTGTGTGGAAGGTCCCCAAGTCACTGTCTTCCTTTGAGGGCCCTTCCACACAGCGCTAGGGCCCTTCCACACAGTCCTATATCCCAGAATATCAAGGCAGGAATTCCCACATTATCTGAGTGGGGACTCAGAGCCCTTCCACGCAGCCCTAATATTCCAGAATATCAAGGCAGAAAATCTCACAACATTTGCTTCAACTGGATTCTCTGAGGGCTCTTCCACATAGTCCTATATCCCAGAATATCAAGGCAGCAAATCCCACATTATCAGAGAGTGGACTCAGAGCCCTTCCACATAGGAAAGGCAGGAAATCCCACATTCCTTCCTCAGATAACCCAGTTCAAAGCAGATATTGTGGGATTTCCTGCCTTGATATTCTGAGATATAGGGCTATGTGGAAGGGCCCTAAATCACTGTTTTCCTTTGAAGGCCCTTCCACACAGCTCAATATCCCAGGGCCCTTCCATACAGCCTTATATCCCAGAATATCAAGGCAAAAAATCACACAATATCTGCTTTGAACCGGGTTATCTGAGGGTCCTTCCACGCAGTCCTATATCCCAGAAAATCATGGCAGGAAATCCCACATTCCTGCCTCAGATAACTCAGTTTAAAGCAGATATTGTGGGAGTTTTTGCCTTGATGTTCTGGGATATAGGGCTGTGTGGAAAGGCTCTGACTCCACAATCGGATAATGTGGGATTTCCTGCCTTGATATTCTGGGATATAGGGCTAGTGAGAAAACAAGCCAAGGTACTTTTCCCTATTCCCAAACTCTCCCCCCACATCTGCTCCCGCAGGTGGCACATCCCACTCCTCCTCTTCCTCCTGGCAAAGTCTCCCTTGGGCGGAACGCTAATTCAGCCCAGAAGCGGGGGCGAATCCACGGAGGAGGGAGCAGAGGGGTGCGCAGGTGCCTCGGAGCCAGGCAGGTGGCCCCTCCCACTGCGCCCCTTTCCCGCTGCTCTCCTTTTGGTGCTGTCCAGGGTCTCCCTTTTGGTCCCTTTGGCCGTAAAGCGCCGCTTCACGTCTACTTCGCCTTCTGGTCTTGCTCAGGGAGGGGGAAAGAGACAGACAGACAGAGACAGACTCTTCCTCTGGGGAAAGCAGCCACCCAGACCCCTCCAATTCCCTCTCCGTGGGAGCTTGAACTCACCGCCTTGGAAAGCCGGACAGGAGCCGCTCGCTCGGGGGCCTGAGAAGCGCGTTTTCCTTGCTCTGCCTCTGCCTTTGCCTCTCTCCGGGGCTTCACTAACTCATGTTGGAAGCGTGCGCTCGGACGGCTGGCTTCAAGGCGCTTCTTCTGTCTCCGAGCGAGGAGGCGCCTCGGCCGCTGCCCAATCAGGGAGGCGCGCAAAAAAGGAGGGAGGGAGCGAGGGAGGGAAAGAGCACAAAAGGGGAGCGACGGGGAGGGAGGGAGGGAGGGAAGGAAGGAAGGAAGGAAGGAAGGAAGGAGAGAGAGAGGGAGCTGTCCGAAGAAGCCCAGCCAGATGTGGCACCCAGGGCCCTTCCACACAGCCCTCTATCCCAGAACATCAAGGCAGACAAATCTCACAATATCTGCTTTGAACTGGGCTACCAGAGTCTACACTCAGATAATATGGCATTTCCAACCTTTATATTCTGGGATATAAAGGATTTCCAGCCTTTATATTTTGTGTGGAAGGGCCCTCAGAGCTCTCCTGTGTCTCCATGGGGCCAAGACGGAAGTGGCCACCAATACCCCAAAGCAGTGTTCTTAACCTTCCTAATGCCATGACCACTTAATACAATTCCTCATG